GTATACTGTTTTGGTTAATTTCAGAGGTTGCTGGGGGGATGGTGACGTCATAATGAGCTAAAGACATAATGTTTAATATCTCAAAAACTATAACAGCACAAAYRYTCATTTTAACTGCACAAACCTGCACAAACGAAGCACTAACCAATCTGCTTACTTGTTTGCATTTTTTGTGTGGGTGGGGTGTCAGCTTCACACAGCTACCAGTGCGCCGGCGGGCAAGGGCACAACCCACCAGAGGGCAGCACAGCAGGGGAAGCAGTGCGCCCTCGAACGCAAAGAAGGGGCCGCCCAAGTCCCAGCCTGATAAAAAATACAAGCGTACATAGACACAATCACACAGTCCCACCCTCATCCTCTCACCCACTCATTCAAGACACACAAGATGGACACCACATTCCGCTCACACTCCCCATACATAATCTATACCCCCCAGGTCCAGGACATGCACCCACCCCCTACAGAGGGCAGCTCAAAAAAAAAAGGAATAAAGACTTCTGATTTCTGGTGTATTTGTGCGTGTGGGGGTCATTATGTCACCGCTATGCGGTATCTAGTTTTAAATAGGTTCATGAAGCAGATTTGAAACAGATTAACAGATTTTGACTAATGCTGATTGGTCAAATAAAACTGAAGTTATTCATTCATGCCACATATTTTCTGATAACCCTCAATACATTTAAAGCTGGTGGCTGAAATAAATTGCATATTGTCATCTGCTCTGTTGCAGCTGAACGGAGTTCAGGGGCGGTCCCATGGCCTAATTCTCCTCTGTCAGGAGGAGTCTATCTGCTGCTTTAACGGTTTCATGTTTTCCTACTTCTTACTGTAGTTTGTTTTGTATTTGATAAATATAAGTTTGGGCTGTGTTGGGATGTTTTTTTATTCAGCAGAAGAATAGGCTAAAACCTGAGAGCAGATGGATGCTAAGTGTAAAATGAAATGTTGAAAAATTTCTCTACCAAAGTTTTCATTATTTAGCTCACTGTACATTTAACTAATTTTTAACTAAATGTTAAATTTAAATGTTAAAAAATGTATGTAAATATTAAATCCTAAATGTTTAAATGTAAAAGTTAAACCTTAAATGTTGAAGTTAAATGTTGAAGTTCACCTTTAGGTATTTTGTAATGGAACTCAGCCTTTGCTGTTGGTGCTCGATGCGTGTTGTGACATCATCACCCTGAGACAACAGCAACAGCAACAGCAGTGCTAGCTCTCAGGATGATGATGTCACAACATCATCATCCTGAGACAACAGCAACCGCTTGCCCTGCTGTCACTGCCCGGTCTGTTCCAGAAGCACGGTCCTTACCGTTTGTTTTTAGCATGTAGCATTTCACTAAACTTATGACAGAACTGATTAGATTCAGTCTTTCTTTGCAACAGATATAGATTTTTATAAAATAAAACAAAGATGAGATGAATTATAACATGCTTGTCTAGAAATATTTCAGTTCTAGTAATCTTAATCCAAAAGTATATAATATTAAAACAGTTTTCAGAGTATAATTTAGCACACCTTTATAATTAAGTGTGGGAATAATTATTTACAGTATTTTTTTTTCCTAAATTGGGCGGATTAACCAGTAATCCAGAAGTCTATCATTTAGCATATGTGCAAACGTGCAGACAGTACGGATGGTGCTTCCGGGACAGATCGGGCAGTGACAGCTCCAGTGCAGCAGCAGCAGTGATTGTTGATGTTTGTCGCAGGATGATGACATCATCCTGTTCATCTGACTTCTTGGATCA